ACTTTTTGCAGGTCGCCTGGCAGCCTCTCGCTCCATCCTGACGAAGCGAGCAGAGAAGCCACCTTGCATGACGGACAGCTCGCTGGACGAGTCTGCGTGGCTTTCGCCATCCGCACCCTGCCTGCTCAAGCTTTCCATGCTGGACATGAAAGGCCTGCTCTGCCTGCTTGTACCCTGCAGCAAACAATCGAGCAAGGGAGATCTGCTGCTGCTGCTGCTGTTGCTGTGTTCTGTTGCTCCGCTGCGCACGTGGGAGCGCTCAGGTGCGCGCCTCAAAGGCATGGATGGATGCTTGCTTTGATCAAGAGTGCGCGCAAGGGTCATGTCTACAGGTCGTTGCGGCTCCAACGCAGCTTGCAGTGACTTTTCGACCTTTGAAGTGTGCGCTTCAGAGCAATTTAGGTCAGTTTGACCCACGTCGTCGCAATCAAAGGAACTTGAAGGACGCGCCGCCATCAGAGGCCAAGAGGACAGAATAACGTCTGCAGGTGTTGAGCGCGCCCGGAAGTTGCTAAGAGTTGATCGGCTTGAAGAGGTGGCAGCAACAAGGGAGTGGGATGATGCAAAGATCTCTGTCTGTCGAATTGGGTTTGCCTCGGGACTGTGGAGTGGAGGAAGACACGGTGATAAGAATTCTGACTGACGCCCAATGATAGCGAAGGGCTCCTCGACATTAGACGTATGGCTCCGGCTGTGTCGAGGCAACTGAGAAAACGAAGACGCGGCTGACATTTTGTTGAGCACTCGTGACAATCGCAAAGGGCCGCCAAGCGACTTGCACGCACTGTTCGGGATGGAGATTGAGTGGAGCTGCACACTTCCGTCGAAAGCTCTTCCTGCTATGATGCGCCGCGCGCGAAGCAGCAATATATGGAAATGATGAGCAATCAATACCGCTTCAGTGAGGTCGATGTGCTCCCGGAACTTCTCTCGAAAGCCTCACCTCTGCTTTTCGCTTGATCCATTTGGATATCCTGTCGTGCAGCTTGTGCCTGTTGCGAGTCTCGAGCTCGGGCGCGAGAGAGTGGGGCGTTGACGTGTCCATCGCAAGCGTGTCTTTTTCGAGAGTCGAGGTGGATGCATGTATGTGGCCATCAATGTTTGCGAATTGCTCGGCGTATCGTGTGAGATCTCTGGATGTCAAAGACGCGCCCAAGAGTTCGTCGAGCAGAAAGGCACACGAATAGAAGCGCTTCGCTCTTGCGATGACATGCGAATAGTGAGCAAGCAGACAGCCAGCGCTCTTATCGCGCGTTCGATGGCAAGAGGCGGAGGGACGGGGAACGAAAAGTCGTGAATGCGCCTCGCGAAGGTCATCCAGATAGGCGCTTTTCAAAGCGAGACAATAGCCATCGTTGGCAATCAGACACACCTATCATGGCACCGCTTTCAGGTTTGCCTCCCTGCTTTTCCGCTCCCCTATTGTCTTTGGCTTCGGTTGAGGCGGCGACGGAGACCGCGCACGCCCGGACGCAGACTTTGCTTTTGTACCACAATCCGGTGCAGCCGAGCAGCGCAGACTGTTGATGTTTTCCATAAATTGTCGCTGCGTATTCTCGATCGAGAAATAGCTACAGCCGCCTGGGCTCCCCCTCGCCGTCGCGGTCGCCGCTTGGCCTGCCCTGCCCTACCCTGCCCCTGCCCCTGCCCTTGTCTGCTCGCTTAATAAGCAGACAAACGGTTGCAT